TGTATCGGTGAAAGCAACATATGAAGGTGTCGTTAAATTACCCTGGTCGTTTGCAATAATTTCAACACGGTCATTTAGCCATACACCGACACAAGAGCATGTCGTTCCTAAATCGATACCAACTAAAGTGCGTAGAAAAAACCCTATATTAAAATGTTAAAATATTAAACGCCATAATTTCATTTTTATAAATGTATCAGCGTACCAGCTTTTCCTTCTGCCATTTGTAAACTTTATTATAAATATGGGTTGCCTTTTTTTTTTTATAAAAAATTTGATAACGTATAGAAAAAAGAAAAAAGGTTTTTAAAGCTTGAAAATGCCTATAATGTGGTTTCAGAATTAACTTTTTTCAAGATAAGTGGGAGTTTAAAAGATCCTATTTCCTTTTTAGAATTCCAAATCAGAAATTTAAATAGGCGTAACCGGTGATAAATTAGCTTTTTTTGATAACATACTTTAAAACATATCGGCGGATTTTCGGAATTGGGTTTCATGGGTTAGTAAAACGATTCCAAAATATAAAATTTTTATTACGTTTGTACTGTATATAAAAATACTTTAAGGAATAACGATAACAATAATTAAAATTAATTTGTAACGCTATTGTTAATTACTCCTTAGATTATTTTTTATATACATACGGGTCCGTTTTGCAAACCAATTCCGAAAATCGCCGATATGAAAGTAGAATTGTACGTCACTTACTTTGAAATAAAACGTCATTTATTTATCTGAAATCGGACGTTAACGTTAATTCTGAAACTCCCGACATGGAAATTTTTTTGGTGTGTCCTCGTGTGCACATTTTATCCAAAAAGGGAAACAATGGTTGTGGGATATCACATCCCCCTGTGTGAACTTTGCTGATTTTGCTAATTGATAAATATTCAATTGTCTTTTTTAGCACGCCATGTATTTTTCAGGTTTATTATATCTCCCGTGATTAGTGCACGAGTATTGCATATCCGGAATTGGTCTGAATTGATCCTAAATTGTATCCTCAAAGTTATCCGCAGAGTGAATCCCAAATTTTGTAGCAAACAAATATACGTACGTTATGAGAGGGCCCTACAATATTTTTTTATATATATATTGTTATTATATTTCTATTTTATTCTATTTTTATCAATATAAATTATACATTACTTAACTTCGGGTGTAGAATTTGTTCAATCGGTTTGTGCAGTTAGATTTAATTGCTTTAGTGACTCAAGTCACGTTATTAAATATAGCTTCTTTATTTTAGATATTAGCCTTCGTAGCTATAGCCCTTTTTGCGAATATAGTCGCATTATTTACCTTCTTCACTATGTTTAATTAGATAGCTTTGTCGCTCTTCGCAGCTAAATGTAACTTATCTAAACCTGTATTTCCTTAAGACTGTAAAAGTATAAAAG